TCTTTTTAGCAACATCATATGACCCCTTTAATGTAGTCCAAATGAAGTTCTTAGCAATGCATATTACTAATCAAAAATGAAGTTTTAATATATTTACAGTAGGAAATTTACAAAATATATTCATGGAACATGATCTTTACTTAATACCCTAATGATTTTTGGCATAAAAGAAAAATCGATTATTTTGACTCATACAATGTTTTTTTGGCTATTGCTACAAATATACCCCAGCGACTTAAGACTGGTTTTGTGCTCCAGGGTCACATACGACTTAATATTCATGAATACTGTATGTTTAGCTTTGCTTTAGGTCACTGTGAGCACACATCAGATAATGGTCAGATTATCAAGCTCAAACAGATACACACACACACACACACACACACACACACACACACAGGGGAAATTAATAACCTCACGGACAAAGCTGAGCTGGTCATAAACAGCACCTTCACCTGCTCTTATTACATTTACTTTTCATAAAGAGAGACTCGACGCTCTCTCAGTACTGCAGACCAAAGACTCTTTACAAAGCACTTTATGATCTTTTCGCTCAGCAGGATCCGGGGGCACCTAGATTGGACCAAAAGGGCACTTCAACTGGCCTTAGAGAAACTGAGAAATTTGCATTTCCTGAAGGAAGTACCAGTGCTTGCAAGTCGGCAAAAACAAATCATTAGACAGAGACAGATATGACATTGACATGTAATATCGAGAATAGATATATGAAAGAATTTATTGTGCAAATGACAACAATGACATCATTTTCCAACTTTAATCTTCATTTTCCTAAAGTAGAGTTTTTAGAATAAAGAGAAAATAATGATTTTTATTAAAAAGACAGAAATGATCTACAAAACAAAGTCTGTATGTTAATCATTCCAGCTGAATTAATTGCAGAAGATTGTGGATAATAATAAAAAAGCATGTGTTTATGGAATATCACTACAGCCCTGCCTTGCAAACACTGTAATAAATGCTGCGTTTCAGAGTGACGAGTCATGCTTGACTGACCTGTAACAATTCCATAGTTGGGCGCTTCTAGAACCGCTCCATAAAACTGGATGATGTTTCGATGACTGAGAACACTTAAAATCTCTGCCTGGAAATACAGCCAACACAAAGATTACAACAACATCAAAACGAGGAAATATTCAATATATCTCTATATAATTTTCCTAATTGAATACACAAATGTTTCATTACAAATAATGATATTGTCAGCATAACAATTAACTCTATAAAACCTACTGTGTCATGTTTGATACACACATTTCTAAGGCCTCTAAATGATCGACATAATCACAACTTTGTTGTACACAATTCACTACTTGCCTTCTGTCGTCTGATTGATAGTTGATACTTTTTTTAGCAAGTAAAAGAGTTTGTAATATAATTGTAAAACTGGCAGGTTATGTGGTCCACATGTCTTTTAGCTGTGAAATCTTTATTGATTTTTACAAAGTAAATGTAAGAATAACTTTTATACGGTTAGTAATGAACAACTACTGGACTGAAGCGACTTAGGTTTACTTGTTTATCCATACATAATTTTTTAGGAAAATCATGTTCGAATGTGAGTATCAAATATGACACAACAGGCTTTTGAGAGGAATGCTTATTTGTTCATCTCTCATCATCATTGCATTGCATTTTATATTTAGCCCACAGAATAAAAACCACACAGATTTGATCATAAAACTAAGCATTTCGATATCATTTCTAACTAAGACATATTACTGGAAAATGTAGAGTAACTACTGATATTTATATGCATTTATGTAGCTAAGTAAACTGTTATAAAGATCACTGAGTTACATTACAAGCTGTCAGAATTTCATCTTACTTTTTTTTGTTTTTCTGCTCCTCCATATTCTCCTATATCATACTATATGAACCATAAAAGCCTGATGTAATGTCAAATATGACCATATTAGATTTGAACAAATTTAACAAACATTTTTGGAAGAGCTCCACTTATATGAAGTGAATCATATGAATTTTGAGTGTTACTGGCAATACTTTTGTGCGATTTTCCTAACTCCTTAGGCAGTTCCTCCACCAAACTATATTTTAATCAAATTTTTTTCTCGACCAAACTGCAACCAAAGCCATTATGTTCTAAAATCACCATGTGAAGAACAAAGACAACAATGAATCTAGCACTTAAAAGTAAATACGCTTCACCCCAAAGACAAACACTGCACTCAGCTGAAACTAATATGACTTAATTATGTGACAATTTTCTCTTAAAGACATAGTCTATGAATTTCCGTTCACAAAAGCTGCTCGGACTGGAGTCGACACACAGAGAGGCAATTAAAATGATTATCACACTGACAATTAAAGCATGTGTATGAAAAGCTGGGGCGACTCTCACTCTCACCTCTTTTTCAATCTTCAGAAGCTTTTTCACCGCCACCTCTTTGTCCTGCGAGAGCCAGCGGGCGCGATACACGCTCCCGAAACTCCCGCCGCCGCAGTTCTCGTAGAAGAGGATGTCATCGAATTTGATTTGCACAAAGGAGGCGCCCAGAGATGCCATGGCATAATGGCACTTCGAAACACGCTTCTCTCCTGAAGAACGAAGAAAAGAGGAGAGGATGAGAAGAGAGCGAGGGACGAGAGATGTTGTGATTTGATCTGCCACTGAGAGAACTGCTCACTTTTACTCCAGTGAACACACACACACACACACACACGCCGCGAGCTGTCAGACAGAATCCACTCACTTACTCTAACAAGTTTTGCTCAAGCGTCACAGGCTGGTGTGTGAACGTAATGTGTGAACGTGCTGTGTGTGTTTGTGTTTTTGTGACGGCACCCATTCACTGCAGAGGATCCATTGCTGAGCAAGTGATGTAATGCTACATTTCTCCAAATCTGATGAAGAAACAAACTCATCTACCTCTTGGATGACCTGAGAGTGAGTAAGTTTTTAGCAAATGTTCTTTTTTTGGGTGAACTATTGTTTAAATCAGCAGACTTCCTAACAACAAGGTTCAAGGTTTGGCGTATGATCAACAAACGGACACTCCCTCCCTGCTGCCTGCCTCTCTGCAGATGTATGAGGCTGATATTCCTCTGGCTTGTCAATGTTTTACAGGGAATTCCTCATATCTCCAATCAGAGCACATGACACGAGCTCATCCACACACTCATACTTATCTGAGATCAGCTGACAGCAGACTACTACTACTAGTGTAGATCATATCAGCAGGCACCTCTTGTCAAACCAAAGTTCGCTTAATTGTATTGAATGTGCACATGTAGTGTACTTTAAATCTTAAAAGTATATTTTTATTAAAAACTGTACATACAATATAATATTAACTAAATAAAAGGCCATTTAAGTGTACTTAAAGACAGTTCACGTTTATGACTATGACTATATCAGGTACAGTGCATGCCACATTTTCTCAAGGAAAAAAAACTCAACTAATGCTGTAAAATATACATGAGAGTCAGTTGGTACTACATTACTATAATATTGAGCGCCAAAACGGCATTTATTGTTTAAATACTGCAATACAATTGAGAGAATTTGAAATCTGAGACTTTGTTTCATATGAAAAGTACAAAAAGCACGATGCTTATTGCGATTTATTGGATGGGAAGTGCCCTTCAATGTTCCGTCCATTAACTGAAAACAGGCTAGACTAATCGATTCTCGGGATTTAAGAATCAATATCGTTCTATAAAAATGAGAATTGATTAATATCGAGAAATCTATATTTTTTACCCAGCCCTATTATTTATATTTGTAAAACTTTGTAATAAGCAACTGCACAGCAACATGCCAACCACTCAAACACCTAAGCAACGCTCTAGAAACCACCCACAAAGCCATAGTCAACACATAGTAACATCTTAGCCAACCAAAACACTGAATAAAATAAAACCAATAAAAATGTATTTGTCTGTAAAAATATCTGTTACAGACAAACATCCCCACAGTGTCTCTCTGTGCTTGTGATGCTCACAAATTATAAATGCATTAAAGCAGACACAGAGGAGAGAAAGACAGAGCAAATTGTTGCTGGTGCATTGTTCGTTAGTTTCTCATTTTCAGTGCAGTAGTTATGGATTCTGGAGGGCTGTGCTGGACTGCTGGGGCACGCAGCAGGTATGAGCTCCATTCTCACAGAGGGACTCCGCGGCTTTTCCGCAGTTTGGGCCGATTTATGTTATATTTAGCAATGCAGGAAGCAGAACGACTCACTGGTGTCTTACATCCACACACACACACACTCACAGAAAAGAAAGAGACTCTAGTGGATATTATATACCTAAAGAGTAACACTGCCACATCTTTATAAATACAGTGGCTCCAAAATTTTTTGGAATGTCATTGAATTAGATACTAAATATTAATGCAAGTGTCATCAAATGCTGCAGGAGATTTCTCCCATAGTGAAAAAGAAGTAGACTTTAGCATACTTTTAAAAAGAGCACTTATTACAGAAATAATATACTTCAAAAGAATAATCTGAATTACATGATGGACACTTAACTGCAGGCATGTTAATTGAAAATAAATTAAAACGTATTATAGTTTAAATTGATATTAAATCCAAACAGTGGAACTTTAGAGTGTTTTTGACACACTTAAGTAGGACTTAAATACATCTTTATATGTAATTTCATAATTACTTCTGTTGTCTTGAAATATAGTTGAAGTGCTGAATGTGCTGACAAAATTCAGCAAAAAAACTAAAATATACCTTAATGACATTTCTATTAAAATGTTGTGTATTAATGTTAAATACACTTGTAATTAATGAAGTTGCAATTTAGTACATTTAGAGTATATTAACTTTAGTACACTGAATAACAAACTACAGTTAAAATTGAACTTTGCATGTGCTTTATTGTTTAAAGCATAACAAAATATTATTTGAAAATAAAATGTACGTTAAAGTAAAACTTTCAATTTGACATTATTACAAAGTGAACTTTTTAAAAGTGTACTTAAGTGTGTTAAGAAACAGTCATGAAAGTGCATAGAAATCGCTTACCCCACCTTTAATATTATAATGACACATGCAAATGTCTGATCATATATAAAGCCACAATACCAACTCTGACGATGCAGTGTTTAATTATCAAAAAAAAAAAAAAAAAAAAGGAAATGTTTACATTCCCTGCTGAAAAAAAAAACAGCTAAAACCAGCCTAAGCTGGTTAAGCTGGTTTAGCTGGTCGACCAGCCTGCTCACAGCTGGTCAGCAGGCTGGTTTTAGAGGGGTTTTGGCCAGTTCTTTAGCTGGTGAGGCTGGGAGACCAACTAAAACCAGCTACTTCCAGCTTAAACCAGCTAAGACCAGCCAACCAGCTTAGGCTGGTTTTAGCAGTTTTTAAAAGTGTACTTAAGTGTGTTAAGAAACAGTCATGAAAGTGCATATTATATTATCTGCAGTTTTGTTTTGTTTTTTAAATATACTTTTGGGATTTGAAGCACACAAGTGAACATTCAATACAATTAAGCATACTTCTTTTCCACGAGGGTCTTCACTAACTTCCCTTCCTCGTTTTTGTCCAGTATATTTTAATCAGCTGGTGTTTTTTGTTTTTTTTTGTAGTGGATGAAGTCAGTTTTCCTCAGGTTACACTAGCAGGTAGTAGGAACCACAGGTGTCGAGAATCACATTAAATATGCAGATGATCAAATAACAGTAATTACAATAGTATTTGTCTGCATTTTAAACAATATTTGTTTCCTAATTGCTGTATCAGTTAAAATCTAACAATGTTCTAACTAAGATACATTTTCCTTGAAGTCTGATTGTCTTATCTTTCTTTAAAATAAATGGCATTTGCTTTGATATTTTGTATCTAATGCAATGATATGCATGCATTTTTAAGTATGCATTAAGCGTCTTATATGCTCTCTGCACTCTCTTGTACAGTATTTCCTCATTGAATTATGAGCCAATAGGATGACAGCAGCTTTCCTCCAATCATATCTCAGCACATGGTCTCTGCACTGGAACAGAAAGTAAAAGTGGCAGAATAATTGGGATTTTTCTCATCCAGCTGGGAGTGAAGGCCTGTGTGTTCATACTAGGGGTTGCACAGACTAGCCCAACGTCAGGTTTGCTGTGGAAAAATATCAAAGTTTAATTTCTATTATATTTCGTTATTATTATTATTATTATTATTATTATTATTTAGCTGGTCGACCAGCCTGCTCACAGCTGGTCAGCAGGCTGGTTTTAGAGGGGTTTTGGCCAGTTCTTTAGCTGGTGAGGCTGGGAGACCAACTAAAACCAGCTACTTCCAGCTTAAACCAGCTAAGACCAGCCAACCAGCTTAGGCTGGTTTTAGCAGTTTTTTTCAGCAGGGTTTCCTGAGAATGGTAGTGGTTTTGGACATACAAGGTTTCTGCCCGATAGCGACGATATGTAAATTTGTTGTTTTATCATCACCAACAACATAAAGCTACCTATGACCTTGCTCAAGTTTCACATTAAATATGAGTACTACTTTTAATATAATATCCAGTTTTAATATGCCATTTGAAGCAATGTTTGTGCGATTTTGCTATATTTCAGTGCCTAGTGGTGTGCCTGGGATTTTTTTTCCCTGATCAAAGCTGTGCCGTGGCTACAAAAAGGTTGGGGAACACTGCACTAGTCGATTAGTCGACTAATGTTCTGCCGTGACACTTTAAGCATGACGTCGACTAATCGCGGGTCCTATAGAGGGCGCAACAGGACAACTTTGAACTCCACATTTACGCTCAGTTTCCACACAGTTAAAATGACAAATAAATGCATACTCCGAAAGCGCTCCACAAGACACATGTGATTACACCACCTGGATGCTCGAAACTGAACGGGAGAAAGTCATATTCACGTCTTTTTGTGGGTTTTTACAAATATTTAACCAATGAACAGCATTCAAAAGAGCTTGTGACTAAACCTAGTAACGCTATCAGATCCTTCAGCGAAACCTCATAACCTCATAACATTCAGCGATAAGTGCCATGCAGTCTGGAGACAGATCTCTGCTTGTTCACAGTGCAAAGGTAAATGAAGAACTGATGTTTGAATAAGTACAGTGTTTTCTTTACCCCAGAAACACTGTCTATAAAGGCTAATGTTTTTGTGAGTTTAAAGAGCAGAGAAGAGTCTTAGCATTTGCAGCCTATTGCCTATCCTGTGCATAGCACTTCATATTTTATATCACGAGATTTTGGCCAAATGTATTCAACAACAAAAAACTGAGCGCCCATTTAGCTACAATAAACTTTATACCCTGTAAGTTGATTTAAATGTAATGCAATGCACTCACTGCCTCAGATGCAGCCGTTTTAATGACGGACAAAACACAGGTCTCTGGCATTCGCTGGTCAAAAACCTCGTAACTCCATTTGAGCTTGATTTTCATAAAATGTTAAAGGTGGAGTAAGCGATTTCTGGAAGCCAATGTTAACATTTGAAATCACCAAAACAAACACGACCCTACCCCAAAAGGGTCTCGCCCCTATTTTGATAGCTCCGCCCCACACATA